TCTCTCCGTCCTGGTTCCTGTCTGTACAGTTACCTCCCTGTGTGCGTCTCCTTTTCATTATGTTTTTTTTGGGGGTTTTAAATTAATACTTTATGGTAATTACAGCTATGCTTACTTTTACCGGCAATGGCATTTTCGTAAATAACTGTTTTATTTTGCCCATTTTCGTAAGCGCCGCATCCATTTATGTACCCGCTCGAGTCTATCAATCCCTTGGCCTCCTCCCCTTTTTTGAGGCAGCAAAGCAACGGATTTATTTCCTATTTTAATTTTAATAAATAAATTGTAGAAAAATTATAATTTAATAAATAATATAATTAATTTTTTAGAGGGATGATTTATTTCCTTATTTTAATTTTAATAAATAAATACTATAAAATCTATAATTTAAAAAATAATTTAATTTAATTTTTAGAGGCATAATTTATTTTTTTATTTTAATTTTGATAAATAAACGATAAGAAAATATGGAGTTTACTAAACAAGAAAATTAATTTTATGTATGTTCAATGTTTATATTAAAAGTCAATTTAAATTAAAATAACATGTTTAAATAATTTTTTTTTTTTAAATAATTAATTGTATTAAATCACAAAAGTAATACAAAAAAAAAATAGAATTAGAGACTCATATATGAAGTGCGAGTAAAAGCGAGCTGCTCTTGCTAGCTCCCGAGCCATTATATTGCATTCGATCTCTGGTTCAACACAGTTATTTATAGTCGACGACAATGTAGTCGAACTCCGATCAATCGTTGTCTTTAATTATCAAAGCTTTCTGAACAATCAAGACATTAACTTTAACGACTTTTGATTCGTAAATATTATAAATTATATATAATAAAATCTAGCAACATCTTTTTAATTCTATTAAATACAGTGTTAGGTAGTAATTCAGTGAATTAGAGAACGTAGTTAGTACTCTGTATTTATAAAAAAAATTATTTTTATTTTATGATAAATATTATTTAAATAATAAGAAATTATATGAAATTAATTTTATTTTATAATAAGTATTATTTTTTCATTATATACTATACATGTATATATTAATTATCATAAATTTCAATTTGGGTATGTATTGAGACTTATATAAATTAAAAAGATTATTAATTGTAATAATTATTTTTCATTGTTAACTATAATATAATTTAATATTATCACAGACAATATATTGATGATAAAAAATTTAAATGTTGCAATTTTTTTTTATATATAAATAAAGGAGAATATTAAATAAATTCATGTATACATGTTCCATAAAAAACAAGCAAAAAATTATTTATTGTCATAATTTAATTTAGTTATTGTTAAAATATTTACAATTAAATACAATATCATAATTAATGATCATAAAGTTACATGTATATATATGACAATATTAAATATATTAAAACAATGCATTTGAATATATATATATATGTATATATGTGTGTGTATTATTCCATATAAATAAATAAAAGTATGTAGATTAGTTATTCTCATCAAAGTTAAAGTTTGCTCCTCGTTAATATATGAGAAATAATATTACAATTTTACCTTGTAGATCCATTAGTTTTGTCTTTACCAAATACACTTATAACATATTAGTTTGGATAAGAATAAAAAAAAACTTTATTATATTATATATATATATATGTATTATGTATATAGACTTTACATTTATAGATAAGAGAATCAAGAGAAATTAATAAAATTTTTAGAAAATAATATATAATTTCATATTATATACGTATATTTGATTATTATTTGGAAACAGATGGCTATTTAATTATTTTTTAAAAAGAAAAGCGAATATTACAAGCATATTATATATATATATATATATATATGTATGTATTTATAGTATATATAAAGTGGATTGTAGTGATGGGGCAATGGTCCCGCCTTGGCCTCTTCTTCCTTGGGCGATTGGGTATGACCTATCCTTCAAAATTCCAAATTAGTTTGACTTAGATCCATCCACCACAAGAAACATATATATATATATATATATATATATATGTTCTCATAAATATTAATAAAAATGCAAATTATAAAATTAAAAAAATAGTGGGTAAATACATATTTTCATAATTAGTTGTAATTTTCACTTGCCAAATGGTTTTTTTTTTAAAATACTTATTTAATAGTTTTCATATATTCAAATTATTTGAAAAATTTATCAAAATTAAGATACACAACTCAAGATTTGAATATAATAATATAATTTTATAACGAGAACACATAAAATGTACAATTCAAAATTTAAAACGATGGTTATACTAATTTAATTTTGTCGAACTAAATAAAATTTTAAGATATGATTATTAATTTAATCGGACATTTGTTAAATTTCTTTCGTAATTCATAAAATTCGATAGTTATGATAATACGTATCAAATTTTTTTTATTTTAATTTGAAACGAGAAGATATCAAATTTAAATTATTATTGTTATTGTTAGTATATTATTATTATTATTATGATGCAAATAAAATAATAAGAAAAACTTAATGATAACATAAATATTTCACTTGAAGTTCATTGTATCAGAAGTTCAATTTTCAAGTCAATGGTATAAAATAAATAATTTCCTCCAAACATTACTCTAAATTCAAAATTAACAACATATTGGTTGCACCAAAAACAAAAAGAAACCACTAATCCAGTAGCTTTTCAGATTAAAAACAGTAATTTCTTGAAAAATTCAAACTCAAATTATTGGTTGGACATGCAATTTCTTTTTTCTTTTGAGGTTTGGCCCAGAGCACCGTAAAGGATAGGAAAATGGTTTAGGGTTTAGTCAAAATCACAGTGTGTGCTGCTGGTGACAGATCATTGGCGTCTTCTAAATGCATAAAAGAGTCAGGTTCGTGATTTGCAGGTAATAAGAAAAATAGTTGACGGTAATAAGATATGATAAAAAGCCCAAATTAGTGCTAGAGGAAACATAATTAGGTTTTAGATGTTCACCAGAAAAACTAAAAGACTCCACCCTAGTAAAACTATAATGCTCGTGTAGTCTTCTAAAGTCCGTCTCCGCCTCAAACAAACCTGTAGAATTCAACTTTAAAGGCTATCAAAAACTACAAAAGCCATCTCTAGGATTCTCAATTGGTTGATTGACGCAGCTCTGGGCGCACAAAATCGGCATCTGGTGGCACTGAGATGTCCACTGTCGGCCTCAGTTGAGCGCAGACTTCAATGGCTCCGTGCACTGGATCTGAGAGGAAGTTGCTGATGAGATCTCTGTTGATAGGAGCACCATTATCCACTGCTACTAATGCTTGCTGTGTGATTATGTAATCAAAGCGAGGAGCCCATTTCCTTGAACCCAATCGAGCTGTGGTAGAGCAGTTGTCAACCATGAAGGAAACTCCACGGGCATGCATAAATGGATTCAAAGAATCTACAGACTCAATCACACTCTCATTAATGATCTCTGAGTACGAGTGCCCTTTCTTTCTCAAGATCTCAATCTGCAATTTTTTACACAACGAATTCAAATTATTTGGATGGCACACAACGAAAGACTCTAGCCACGAGCTGCCAAACGTATAATAATGGACAATTAATTGGCTACTCCCATCTAAACACAGGAGCGTACACATTCAAATAGATCTAACCATATCAAACACTCGTACCTGGGCCATCATCAATGCTACATAGACTCCAGCAGTGAATGGATGTAATGGACCCAAATCACCAGCTGGTCGTGCCTTCGGACACGCTCACCAACTTTCCACATGCGTGTCTGATCAATTTTCCCCATTGGGAAAGCTGGTAACCCATCCTTTTCCTGTAAAATAAAGTATGCAAAAGATTACCTCCAACAAGACATGAATATAAAATTTACTCCAAATGTTCTTAGAGTAGGAACTTAAATAGCCTGAACATATTATAAGTACCATTATAAGCCTACAAAAATTTCCAGATATAAAAAAAAAAAACAAGCATGCATACATAAAAGCGACGCCCAGCCAAGACAACACTGCGGATCTCACTGCCACTGGCAACATCCTCATAGCACTCATACAGAATATCCATGCATGGATAGTATGAAGAACTATATGCAGTCTCAAATTCTTTCTTCTCTTCTTCAGAAAAGGAGTTGTATACAGCCAACATTCCCTGTTGGAAAAATTTAAAAAGGTAAAACTTAGAAGACAAACTCATGGACAGAGACCACTTATTAAGCAAAAGAGAGGAAGATTTTGTAAAAGAACAGCTCAAAATGAGATAAGAAGGCAACCTGAGTTGAGATTGTTCTGGAAATTATGCCTGTTATGCACTCAACAGTATTTTTGTAAGCCAGATCTTCACTCATTCTGTTTTCTGTGTATCTTCTAAACAAGGATTCCACAACTCCATGAACAGCACCCAATAAAATGCCTAACAGACAGTATAAATGTTAGGAACTAAGCATTAAATTTTTTTGTAATAAAGGAACTAAGCATTAAATATACTCCTTTATGGTTAGTATTGAACTCACCCCGCTCCCCAAAAATGTCACTCTTGTACTCCTGCTCAAGGGTAGTGGCAAATGTGAAAGGAGAACCAAGGGCAACGGACCATCCCAGGGCAACATCAGTAGCTCTACCATCAATATCCTGCAAACTCAGAAAAGTTCAATGCACAAACAACCTCTCAATGAAATTAGCCACAAGGAAAACTCACTGGCATGCAATGAGAGGATGAAAGGGCGAACCTGGTGGACCGCAAAACTTGAATTAATTCCTGCACCATTGATCTCTTTCCCTTGAACATAAAGTCTCCTTACAGATGGACCCATTCCTTTCGGACACACAGCAATCACACTGATGTTCTTTGGAAAGTCAAGTCCAATTGACTGCAAGTGCCCAAGAAGGAACCCATGGGAAAGCCCAAGGATGCTGTTTGGCTTCATGTGGGAGAATAATTTCTCGTAATTATCAGCCTAAAACAAAAAATAGAAGCAAACTTCCATTTTAGTAAAGAATTGTGTAACAAGAAGAAATAGCAAAAATAACTCAAAAGAATGAGCACCAAAAAAATGCAAACCTTGAACAGAACTCTAAAAAAATTGCTACCATCTCGTACAAAATGAGACTATGAAACCAAATTGCCCATGATGATTAATCATTCTTTCATTAACAAGGACTCACCGATCATCAAATTTTTACCCAAAAGGTATTATATGCCATGAAAAGTTACAAAAAAGAAATATTAAACATATGCATAATCATAAGTGAAAACAAAGCACAGCCACAAAAAATGCACAAAGTCAACTGAATTGAAGAGCAAACATGAAATAAAACCACAAAAGGATCATTAACATAGCCATTTTTTTTCAAGCAACAAAACTTTCAAATATCTAATGCACCAACCTGAGCAGAATCAGAAATCAAAAGTAGCACAAGATCGCTCCCAGATACAGTTTCCCATATATCACCCAGAGTGCCATTCTCTTCAGTAAAACCAGCAGCTCGAGCTTCATCAAAAGAGCGGGAGCCCTTTCTAAGTCCAATCTATGGTGTAGCAAAGCAATCAATAAAACAAAGATGAGGTTAAAAAAATTGATCTAATATAAAAAATTCAGTAATAGAGAAACAATAAGGAAAGAAATGAAAGCAACGGCAACTATGCAAAAGAAATTTGAAATCACCTTGACAACAATATCAGACTTAACATCAGCCAGCGAATCTCTCAAGTTTTGAGCCTGGGCAGGTCCCTAGAGGGAAGAAGTCGGCAAAGAACACACTAATTGTCAGCACATTAACAAAAAGCTAAATGACGGATTAAGCCTTAACATCAGCCAAAATTATCAATATGCATGGTAGTAAGTCAAGTTCTATTGCATAAACTATCAAATTGTGCAACAACCACAAACTGATTAATAAAATTAGTAAAAGTAAAAGCTGAGAAAAGTATCAACCTGGGAACCCCAACCAATAACCCCAATTTGCTTGACGCCCTTAAATGCATCTGGAAGCAATTTGAACAAGTCTCTTCCTCCTTTTACGATGTACTATGAACAAACAACAAAATAATTATTAAAATATCAAATTAGAAATGTATATAAAATGAGAGCAGAACCAAAAAGTGTAGAAGTAACAAGAAAAGGAATGCTAGTTAAATATAAGACTTCGTCCCCCTCAAGAAACCGTAAACGAGAAAACTAGATAGTACAGAAATTTCATCGATAGAAAAAGAATTACAAAGAGAGAGTGATATTAAATCCACGGAAAAAGTATATTTTCTTGATTCGCAAACAGAATGACAGAAATCGAGGGGACGGAGACGCAAAAATTAGGGATTCTTGATTAATTTTCCACGCTTAAATCATACATTTCCAAAAAGAAACTCTATGCTAAAAGAACTAACTCTATTATGCTCCCCGAAGCACCGGAAAAAAGAAGAACAAGCTCGAAGAGCTCATCTAGATCATAAACAAACCTAAGTCCACAAACACATGCATATTCCACAAGCTACACGTAGATTAAAAAATAGGAAATAAAGGAAAGAAATAAACCTCATCGTGACCCGCAAGGGAGATCTTCTCCTTTTTGAACACCGAGCTCTCGAAATCGAGAGAAAGATATGGCTTGACGGCCGGCATCGACACCATACGAGCACCGAGAGCGGAGCGTGAGCTGCCACTGCTTTTTACACCAGCTTTTAGAAGCTTCACAGACTTGGACGATGACGAGAGGAATCCCAAACTGACACCGGCTAGGTTTTTGGATTTGGAAGTTTTTAAGGTAGAAGATGAAGACGATGGAGTGGAGAGAGATGGGGTGAAGGATGCAGCGGCCGCCATTTTTCACTTCCACACAGACACAGAGGAATGGCTGAGATGAGAAATGAAGAGCAGCTGGAAAGGAAGAATTTATATGCCACGTGTTTTCCCTCTGCTTGCTATTATGCGCCCGGTGCGCACTACATCACGCACAAATAGGATCCGCCCTGGGTTGGTAGGTCGGGACGAAATGACAAAATTCAATAAACGGACACCGTTCTTCGTATGAAAAAAATCGTAAACGGTCACCGTTGTTATTCCAACTCCGTTAACTTAGGGCATCAATGTAATGAATTATCAAATAAATTTAAATTGAATTGGACGGTTGGATTTTAATCAGATTAATTCCATAATAATAAGATTAAAAATTGCATACATTTTAATTTACTTTTTTAATCAGATTAGATTTTACCCAATGTAAATTTTTTTTAACTGATTTAAAAAAAAAAAAATTCTATTAATTTTTAATTAACAGATCTATAAAAAAAATGAAAATTTAGAGGATCCAGTTCAATTTAGTTTCCAATAAAAAAAAAAATTAAACAAAAAATTAGTTTATTCATAAGAGTGGCAGATGGACGGCCAGATTTGAGTAGGTGTCACTTAATCATAATCGGACGGTTCAAGTTTAAGATGGTACCGACGGAAAACTACACCTGAACAGAAAAGCTGTGCGCTTGGCGGAGTGAAAGAATTAAACGTTGAGACTCAGAACAATCTCCAATTTCTGAATTACCCATCAGCGATTCCCAACCCAACTGGAAGATCCTCTTTGTTTCTCATCTCTGAAACTTTCCCAAGCTTTCTCAATCTAAAAATCCTCTCTTTCTCTCTCTAGATATGGAGAAAGAAAAGAAATCATCAACTGATCAAGGAAATACTGATCAAAACGAAGAGACTGAAGCTCTGGAGCTTCTTCTTTTTCAAGTCTCTGAATGTTACGTTTATTTGGTGAGTCTCTTTCTCTTACCCTGTAATTAAATCTGTCTTATTATTTTTTTTTCGTGGTTTGGTTCATTGGGTTTTTTTGGGGTTGGAGTGCATTTTTTTTTAGCTTTTTGAGTTTTCTAGTAATTATCCATGTCCATAGCAAGATTTTTAGCTTACTTTAGTTGATTTACTGTAACTCTAGACCGGGATAGATGTAAGAGATAACGGTTGGGATTTAGCAAGAGAATGTGTTCTTGATGGATGAAGTAAGGAGCTGGTTATGGGACTTGTCTTGCTGTGCCTAAAAATCAAGTCTTTAGGTTCTGTGTCTTCAAAAGGGGTAAAATTAGACAGCAGAATTTGTTAAGTAGATCAAATTAATGGGTACAAGTCAATCAAATTTGTAAAGTCTTTGTTACCATTGTCATTAACACGCTTATACACTGTGATTAATCAAAAGAGGGAGAACAGAAAAGGCATGTGTCGTTGGGAGAAAGAAGAGGGAAGGAATGACAAAGGTGAGATGCATCATATACATTGCAATAGATTGATTATTGACCTGTGGATGCTAGATTGTACGTGAATACAATTAAACTAAATAACTTAGCAAATGAGATGAGCCATCTTGTCTTAACATGATCTGGACTGTTAAAGTTCGAAACTTTTATATTGGGGAATCACAGCTTGATAAGAAGAGGAATACGTATGGGAGGAGGGTGGGGGAATCCTAGTTTAGAATTTTTGTTTTTTTGGGACGAAGTTGTTAGTAGGGTTTCTAGGTGGCTTGATCTTTGGAAGGGTGGCTTATTCTCGATAGTGGTAGAGTTATTATTGTTTCTCTCCAGCTTTCCTTTGTACTTCCTGTCTTTGTTCAGAATCCCGAAGAGGGCGGTTGCAAGAATTGAGACAATTATCAGAGATCTCTTGTGGTCTAATACAAGGGGGCATTGAGAGATCATTTGATGAGATGGGATTTCTTATCTTCCTAAGAAGTACAGTGTTTTTGGCATTGTGAATTTGGTTTCAAAAAAATTGTCTTTATTGGCTAAATGGCTCTGATATTTACCTTGAACATTTTTTTCTATGCTTCAAGGCAATTAAGAGTATTTGTGGTATGCAAATCTATTTGTAAGAACTCCAGAACTCAGAAAAGCTTTTGGAAAGTTATCTCTTAGCGTTATGACCTTTTCATTCCTTTTACCTGGTTGAGGTTAGGGGATGGATCTCTTATCTTATTTGGGAAGATAATTCGATTGGTTATTGCTCTTTAGCTTCATGTTTTTTTGTCTCTCTAACCTTCTCCAGACCACAATATTCCAGTTAACGACTTTATGATTAACTTTATCATTAACCATTATGAGCAGCAATATTCTTGCGTATGCACTTTTTTTGCATATCTCAAAGACTGGGAATCTGTTGATATGGCATCTTTGATTCACATGCTCATGTTTTGTTTCCTTCAAATCAAAAGTTGACTGTAGAGCCTGGACTCTTGATATGTCAGGCGCCTATACATGCAAGTCTGTTTTCACCTACTGCCCCATAACCCAAGTTATCATCTTGAATTTGCCGCCACTTACTTTTGGAAGGTCAAAATTCCCTCTAATATAAAAGGATTTTTCGTTGGTGGCTATTATGAACAAACTTAATACTGATGACTTTTTGCCAGTTTGCATGCCATAAAGATTCCCCATGTTAAAGTCATAAAAACCCCACACAGCCAAACAAAGAGAGAACACAGCTTTAAGAATGTTATTGCAGTAAGCAACTGGATAAACTAGTGGAAGTGTTGAAATTTGTTTTACCATGATTTGTGAATAATGCTTATCTTTTATGATGTAAAGCTAATTTGCATGCTGTTTCTGCAGATACCTCCAAGAAAAAGTGTGGCTTCCTACAGGTTTCCCCTCTTAACTTGCCAAAGCATAACTGAAATTTCTGTGATATATACCTAGAATTCTTTTCTTCAATGTTTCTTTATTTTAAGGAACTGAAATCAGGTGTTACTAATTAACTCCATGTTTTTTTCTAGGGAGAATTTTGAAATCTCTCTTATATAAACAATTTCTTCATTTATTTAATGAAAGATCATTAGGAGTTCCAATTTAGATTGATATTAGTGACTGAAAGTTATAGGCTCACTGACTGACATGCTCTCACACTCAGTAAACTGCCTTACATTTGTATCAATCTGTAGTAAACTAGCAGAACAATAGCTTAAAGCTGAAGCAATATTTCTTGGATTCGGACTTCTGGGAACTGTTATCTTTTATTAGTGAATGAAACTTACAGTAAAGATCATTATGGACATTTATTCTTGGTATACTAGTTTATATTGATAATATTAGAAAACAGAAATAGGCGTAGCCGAGCTTATTTTCCAAACTATATTCATTACAGGTAATCTATAAAGATCAGAATTTTTAATTATCTTTGATTATTTTTTGCCCGGACTCCAACCAATTACAAATTTCTTGACTTCGATCAACAACTGTTATAGGTGTATCTGGATGTTTTCTGTGTGTGCATATGTTGTCCAGGAAATATAAAAAGAAAGAGAAAAACGTTTTGACTGCCATGGGGTTTTGCAATCTATTGAACTGGATGCTCTTATCTCCTGGCCCCTTTTTGTTCATTTTTAAATTTGACCCTGTGAATAAACTTTAAACTCAATTTGTGTTTATGTAATTTTTGTGCCAAGTGCAAACTCATATCTATACGACTTTCTCAGGGCTGATGAGTGGAATGTCAATAAATGGGCTTGGGCAGGGGCCTTGAAAGTTGTTAGCAAGGGGGAAGAGTGCATCATTAGACTTGAAGATAAGTCCACAGGTGGTGCTATACTATGTTCTTTATTAGATGAAACAAATTTATAGTACAAGTCTTCTTCAATATGTTGATGGGTTTGAACAGGTGAATTATATGCTCGAGCTTTTCTGAGAGAGGGAGAGCCACATCCTGTTGAACCTGTAATTGACAGCAGCAGGTATGCAGAAGCATAGATTTAAAATTTGGCACTATAACTTAGTTTCATTATGCACACATTGTTATCTAGCTTCTGATTCATTATTTATTCTTTTGTCTGGAGGCTGTCTGAAAGAAAGAACTTTCTTCTGCAGATATTTTGTTCTTCGCGTAGAAGAAAATATAGGTTTGTCTCCCGTCAACTTCTTAACTGAGTTTGGTATCAATTCTAATTTCATTGAATAAGAATGATAATGCAGCGTATATATAATAGAAATTTGAACAAAATGGCATTATAATTTTAAGTCGATGCTTTTTTGTTTCTTCTTTAACAAGTAGGAATATAAGATTCATGGTTGTGGAATTGAAATCTTAAGAAGTAATTTAATTATACATCAATAGTGTAAATCATGACAGACTTTTATATATTAGATCACTTAATTCTAGGTATGAAACAGGAATAGAATAGGTTGAACCAAATGCAAAGTTAATATTTTTCCCACCACCCAGGAAGTTGGTAGCGGGAAGACTGAACCGAAAGAAACAAAGGAAAATATATTTGAGTGCTGTCCTTTAGTTGAATTCTCAATTTCTATTTGCCAATTCACTTGCAGAGGTAGGAATAACCGAGAAAAGCTGCTAGTCATGTTTCCATTTGTATTTCATGGTTGCATATCAAGTTAGCTACTGTCTCCCCTTTCCTCCTCTCTTTTCTTTTTGTTTTTTTCGGCTAACCCTTGGGACTAAGTTTGGATGAATGGTAAGCAAAGACGAAGGAGCAAAGTCTTTAAGCAAAGTGACTCTTTTATGAGTGAAGAGTAGGTATACTTGGTACCAGGCTTGTTGTGCCCGTATCTCAACCAATTTTCTTTTTTTTCGGTCACTATTTGACATGAATTCTAAACATTCTTTCGAGTTTCTTTTCTATGAAGAACTGGACACTATGAATTGTTATTGTTCCAACGAGCTTGGGTGCGGTGCCTATATGCAATTATGCATAATGAAGAATTACATTGTTAAATTTGCTACTAGTCCTGTACCATGAGCCTTATCTCAAACCTTACTTCCTCCGTTTACTGAGGTTCTAGTTTTGGGTTCAATACCCACTTCCAAGAATGGCTTTTAAACATTGTTATTTTTCACAGTTCCTTCTCTCTCTGAACTTGCCATAACCCAGCTCAAGTCCGATAAACCGTATACTATAGACCAAAATGGTGGCAAAGAAACACCAAAGGAGAAAATGATACAAGTTTCAGCACGTGACAGCCATTCACAAGGATTTTTTCTCTCCTAATCAACTTTTCCAGTGTTGGAATACATTCCCGTGTAGCTTCCCAAGTAAAGAACGCCACCTAGGAGTTGCCTTCACCCAATGTCAAAATTTTAGCACATTTCCATCCAATAGTTTCATTCAGGCCATTCAAGCACTAGAGCTCTCTTTTCCCCATTAGTTGAAACCGAGAGTTAATTATAGTTTGAGATTAAGTTCATATCCTCCACAACTGGATTGGAAAAAAGAAACCAGGATTTTATACTTGTGAGGAAATCCCTGGCCTAGAGGCAAACCCCTATTGAACTTTAATTTGATCTAAATGGAATTCCCTTGTACTTAATGTAGGTACTTGACACAAGTTTAAGAGGAAACCCAAATCAGCTCTTAGGCATGGCAACATGGACACTTTCATACATTTGCATGACTTTCCCTGTTGCCAATGCAATGGCCCCACATGATCCTCTACAACTGGATTGGAAAAAAACAAAAAACCTAGGATTTGGAACTAGTGAGGAAATCTTGGCCTAGAGACAAACTCCTATTGAACTTTAATTTAATCAAAATGGAATTCCCTTGTACTTAATGTAGGTCCTTGACACAAGTTTAAAAGGAAACCCAGATCAACTCTGAGGCATGGCAACATTCATACTTCGATACATTTGCTTGTCTTTCCTTGTCGAACGGCCTCACATGAACGCAGCGTTCCAATTGTCATGGTGGAGCAAATAATAACTAATCTCTTTCTGGGTGTTGGTCCTAGCATTGCCAAGAGGGTCTCCTGCAACCTCACCAATTTATCAAAGTCTCAATTTTTTTTATTTTTTTTCTGATTTCTAAGTTAAAACCTCAAATATCATTTCATAAAAGACCAGGTTTGAGTTTCTTACCAAATGCTTCAACTAATGAGGAACCAAATTTTTGTCTGATAGGAAGTAGAAGAATGGGAGTTTCCAAATAAGACTTGTATGGCAATGATAATGATGATGCCAAATGGTGATGTGAGTTTCTCGAGCTTTTGAAAAGAGAGAGAGAGAGAGAGATCAATCTCAAATGAAGAGAGGCTTGACTGAGAGAGAGAGATTTGAAGAAGGCCAAACAATTTGGGTTTTTGATCATTTTTCCTGAGAAGTTCGACTGAAAGTGTTTTGGTTCTATAGTCTTTTGTCTGCTGGAGATTGGAGGGAGAGAGAAGAGGTCAAAGAAAAAAGATGGAGGTCTAAAGAGAGAGACAGAGACGTGATAAATGGCTAAGAACAAAGGAGATATTTTGAGTGTAGTTTGCACATGTCACACGGGTGATATCTCTATCAAGTTAAACAAAAATTTCAAACAAAAGTTCTAATTTGATCCAATGATATAATGTAGGATGCACATTTCTACATTCAAGTTGCAGATGCAATTTGATATAATTGCACAAGTGAAGATTACTTCCGATATCACCCTTAAACAATGAGTATCCGGAATCAATGTCTCTGTATACCTATGTAACGTGAACTGGTGACTGAAAAAAGCAAAAATG